ATATATTTTAGTTTCTCAAATTAAAAAAAATAATTAATGTTCTCAATATATATTTTAGTTTATCAAGACGTGTGATGTTAACATAAATGATTATAAATGATCCCATGACCCTTGTTTAAGTTGTGTCAAAGTGTCATATTACATAAAAAAAAAGGTATTTTTTAAGTGCGGAAGATTATTATATAAAAAAATTGAATAACTAAAAACATATTTACCTAATTTTATGAATTAGAAACATGTGAAATTTTTTAATATTTATTTAAAGTATATTAGGCAATAGTTTTGTCCATATCTCCTATAAATATTAATGGTAAAATTAACATAATTAAAATAAGAGGGATCAAGCTAAATAAAAAAAAAGTTAAACACCAATTGAAAGTATAATTAAGTGAATAACTATTGATTGGGCCATCTAAATATCATAATTATATGAATTTAGTCCCTCAATGACTTTGAATTTGTTGATGTGACAATTGAATAATAATGATATTTTAAGAGAGCACAGAAAATATAGATGGTGTGTTGTTAAAAACAGAAGAATTGGGTGTCAATGACATTAGTACTATTGATTGTTTTGGTGTAGTGATGATGATGGTGATGATATTAAAATAGAAACAAACAATAATGCTAATTGCAGTAATGGGCCTGCAGGCCATGGGAAGGGCCCAGTAATAATTGGTTCAGAATATTGCTTTCAAAGGATGGCAGAAGAAAAAAAAAGGCAACAATTTTACATTTCAATTTGATTTTAACAAAATATTCATTTGACCAACGCAACTTAAAATGGTAAGTTTGATCTTTTATTAATTAAGCTTTTTATTACACAACAGTGAAATATTATCAAACTCTTTTTCTTTATGTACGTAGGGTCACCAATTTATTACGATTGCACTTGATAAAAAAAGAAAAAAAATATTATTTTTCTTCATAAGTCTTGATTATCCAATTTAAAATTATACAATTCTTTGTATCAGATTTTAAGAGGAAAATAAAATTAGAGACAAAGAGACTAGTGTTGTGAATGTCTATGTCTTCTTTGATAGAAAAAAGAAAAAGTCACTAAAATGTAAGAAAACTAATTTGAAGAAAATGTTTTATACCATATCTTATATATTAGGTTTATTTTGTTGTTTAGTTAAATATTTATTGAGATTTTCTGTGTTGTTATCCACTTTGTTGGTGGACAAAATAGTTTTTATTAATTCTTGAAAGTTTCAAGATAACTTGTGATATTTTCATTAATTATTATTAGCGAAAGATTTGATTGGACCATGTACCGTAAATTTTTAATTTATACTGAGATTTTCTCATATTAGAAAATATTTTGTTCTTAAATTAAATTATAAGTCATTTCGTTCCGCAACTTATAAAAGTAATGTAAAACTTCATTCGCAATAAATAATATATGAAAGTTATATTATATAATCCACTTGTATATATTTCATTTATCACATAAAAAAAAGTATACATGTTTTTTGTTAACATATTTTATGAAAGAGTTTGTGAATTAGATATATGTTTTTGTTAGATTATGGTAGAGATGCGATTTGGGCATGAGAATGATTGGTGATAGTTGTTAGAAATATTGTTTTATGGTGACCTAATTTGAAGTGTGTAGGTGAAGGTGTGGATATCATGTGAATGTAGCATACTTTATGCACCATTCATCATTGCCTTTCTTTCTTGATTATCCCTTCAACCTTCTCGATCACTTCATGCTTATTATAATCAACTCACATTCCCAATACCTAAATTTAATATGGTAAATCGAAAGTGACAACCATCATAAACAAATCAAATCCCTAAGTAGGTCTTACCATTAAAATAAACAAAAAATTATAATGCATTAAGACCACTTGCAAATCATATAATCAAAAATTATATTTAAAATTAAAAGTAATTTTATTATGATAATTCTAATTCTAAAGTATATATTTTTATTTATTTTAAAAAGTTAAAAGAATTCGATAGTTCAACATACGTATAAAAGAATGAGTTGGACTAACCTAATAAAATATTTTAAGTATTCTATTAGTTTTATCGAGCTAGTCTAGAGTGACTTATTTTACACTTGTAGATATGAACATATTATTTTCTTTTCGTCACATATCGAATTTCCTTTCTCGCCATGTCTTTTATTTTAGATTTGGAAATATGCTTATATATCAAAGTTTTATCTGGAAATCAATATTATAGAAGCATTAATTTAAGTTATTTTACCGATTATTGAAAATATGTTTATATATTATAGCATTTATAAAAGCAACCAAAAAGAATCTGATTAAAATCCCAAACTATTTTTTGTAATAATTATAAACAAAAACATATTAACTGAAATTTTCTTAATTCTATATAATAAGTATCTACTATATCACGGCACTTCTCCTTTATTCACTTCAATGCATTGTGGGAGAGTAATTGAGAGGATTTGAGAGGATTTCAAGATAAAATTTTTTATTGTTTATTTGAGTGAATTGTGGAGGTAAACGAGAGTGGATTTGGAAGTAAATTTTTTTAATTTGTCACGTCAATAAAATCCTACACTAATTCTTACAAATTTTACTTCCAAATACACTCTAATTTACCTCAATTCACTCAAATAAACAACAAAAAAATTTATCTTCAAATCCTCTAAAATCTCTCCAATTACTCTCCCCAAATCCCTTCAAGTGAACAAGGCCTTACTGATAATGACCAATTTGACCTTCGGCTTGGATGCTTTTGGTTTTATGGGTGTAGTAGATTTCTTTCTGCTCCCTCACAAATTTAGACTTAAAATTTACAATTTTCAGTTTCAACTTTAATCACTATTTTGGTTTAGATGTATGATTCATTTTAATATTAATTTTTTTATTTAATTAAGTCTTAAAGTTTGTTAAATAGAATTAATTTATTTATTTTTGTTAAATTAAAGTGAATTTATTAAAAGGTAACATATGTCAATATTTTTGAATCATTTTTCATCTTCAAAATCCAAATTAATTATATTTAACAAATATTTAGGCTTAATTGAATAAAAAATATAATCAAAGTGAACACGAGTCTAAATATAAAAACAAAACTACTAATTAAGTCTAAATTATATAATCAAAACATTAAACATTAATAATTTTTATATCTTAAAATGTATAACCTAAAATTAAAATTTTTATTTTAAAATGAATTTGAAATAAAAATTTATATTTGGATTCTATTTTTTTCTGAAATAAAAAATAAAACATACATTTTAAATGGTATATAATTCAGAAGGTGCTTTTCAACAAAAAAAAAAAATTGTTGGCAATAAATTAAACTTGCCCTGGAAGAAATCATAGTAGGAAATAGAAATGCATTCATGAACATGTAAAAGGAGTACACGACTGAGATAAAAACAAGAAAATTAAATATAAAAGATAAGGACAAATACATTATTTCATCACCCCTATGTGAATGCAATAAGAAATTTAGGGGGTGAAGAAAGAAATGTCTTCATGGAGTTCTGATCCCAAATTCATTTAAGCTAGCCCAATTATTATTTCCAGGAAAATCGAAATCACACCCTAATTTAAATCATATTTTTATCTTTTTATCAATTATATTTTTTCTTGTGGAATTTTATTGTTTATTTGTTCAAATCTAAATTTCCAAAGAGATAAAGTCGTCAAACAATTAAGCTTAACACTTTAACTGCAAACCAATCTTTGAGAAAACATCAAATTTACAACATAACAAAATGTTAAAAATATATATTCATAATGTATAATATACTACCGAATCAAAGTGTTACCAAGTTTCAATCACATATTTAAAATAATTATTCATTCCAGATGTTTATATATATATATATATATATATATATATATATATATATATATATATATATATATATAAAATTTAGCTTACGACATTTATTATCCATTAGCGAAAACATACATTGTGCACTACAAACTATGTTTATTTTTTTCATTTGTAAGAAAAATTTGTTAAATTATAAAATATTTTTTATTATATAAATATTTTTATCATAAATAATTATTTAAATCAAAAAATAATTAGTATAAAGATAAAATTAAAAAATATTTTTTTATTATGAATAATTGTTTGAATTTAAAAAAGTAATCGTTAAAGAGGTAAATTAGTATTATATGTCATGAAAAAAATATTTTAAAGAACGGTGAAACAATCTCATAACCAAAGGGAGATCTACAAGACATCATAAAATCTGTTATAAAGAATTCTATATTCCAATAACAAATACTCAAATTTTTAAAATAAATTTTATTTTCTGAAACTTATTAATTAAAGTTGACAAAATAAGTTAGAATCCATAAATCGATCTCTTACTATGTTAAGATTTGGAGGTCACGTTAATATTTTCAATCCAATGATCTACTCTTTCTTGTATGTCAAATCAGTAAACCAAAGATGGTGGATCGAAACAGGTTTATATGTTAATCCTTTATTTAAATTAAAAACTAAAATGAAAAATAATTAATTTTTTTATAATATATTACTGTAAATATGTAAATATATAATTATATGGTAATTTAAATCATTAACATTTAATTAATTTCTAACTATTAATTATAATAAAGTAATTAAAGAAATAAAAGTAATTATTTTAATTTATCCGATTAAAAACATTAATCACTCAATTGAAATCTTAAAAAATATATATACATATATAAATTCTTAAAATAAATATTTTTGAAAAATAATTAAAAAAATTAGTAGACTGACGTGTCAACAACTGGCTGTTTCATCTACTGGCAAGACGGATCAAGATTTTCAATTTGTTTCAATACGATTTACCTAACATGGTAAAAGAAGAGAAAAAAAATACGTTTGTGATTCTTATTATTAATAATTATTAATTAATTGATATGGGAGAGAATAAGATTTTATTAACCTAAAATTAATTACATTTAATGTTTGTGGAGCTTACATTATGAATCCCAAAAAAACCCTAATTTTTTTGTATTATAAAAAGGCAATCGAAAGAAAGAAAATAACAAGTGATAGAAAAAAAAGAGAGTGAAGTGAAAAATGAGTAAAGTAGCCATCTTCTTCAGTTTGGCTCTTCTATTGAGCTTCAGTTTAATCGATGCCTCACGTCCTAACTCTTTCTTTGATGGGGTAAATTTAATTTTCTTCATTCTCTAATTTGATTTTTCATTCTCTGATTGGGTCGTTTGAATTGAAGGGTGTTTCAAGGGTTGAGATAGAAGATGAGATCTGTGAAGAAGGGGCAGAAGAATGTTTGAGAAAAAGAACTCTAGCTGCACATCTTGATTACATCTACACTCAAAATGCTAAAGAGGGTCAACACGATTGATGGAATCGTAATTTCTCTCTGCTTCTTTTTCATATATTAATAAACTCCTTTTCTTCAATCTTGCTTCAGTTTTATCATTCAGTGCAAGTGTGATGAAAATTTTGCATTATCAAAAAATTAATTTTAATTAAAAAAAATTATTAATTTTTATATTTTAATTCGGGTCGTAGCTATTGGAGAAACTATAGAAAACGTTTGGCACATTAAATGACTAATTAAACAATATTGCTGAGTTTTCCGAATTGTGCTACCGAATTCGTCAATATGTGAAAATTTTATCATCTATTTGATTATTATTAATTATTATTAATTATTATTAAATGTGAATGTGGAATTAATAATAATACTATTAGAGTTAATCATTGTATCTGTACATGAGATATTATCCGTTTTGAAGTTAGAAAATTTGAAAAAAATTTAATTATTAAAATTCGAAAGATTATACGAGGAGGAATGCACACATAAACTGTTCTCAGTCTCAACTTTTATTTGTTGGTAACTTAAAATGTTTTGATGCATAAGTTAAAAATTAAATTTGAAGAAATTGTATGAGAGAGTTTCAACAAATTAGTTTGGACTTTGGAGTGATTTGCTTTCATCTGTTCACTGAGAGAAAAAATAAGAGGAAAAATTGAAAATTTTAATTTCTCCGAATACTATTTTTTTCTCGAGAAATTATTATGTAAAAGTTTGTCTGAATGTATATTATGTATTATTTTTTTCATGAGGTAGGTTCCGGATGAGTTAAAAGAAAATATGCAAGTAAATTTTTTTTTTCAAATTAATTATTAGTTCATAATAAGTGTAAAAAAAACTTAAAATAAGTATTGTTTTTATCTTTTATATAATATTAACTTTTTTTATTTATGTTCCAAATAATATTTTTAAAATAATATTCACAAGTTACATACACTACAAGGAAAAGTACAAATATTCGACAGACAATTAAAAATTAATTTTAGAGAGATGCAATTTATTATTAAACCTCATGCGCAATTTTTTCTTATATTTTTTTGTAAATAAAACTATAAACCAATATCACTTCTTGAAATTAACTGTTACACAAATTTTGAACATGATTTAATTTATATTTTAATAGATTAAATTTGATCTATATCGAGAAAATATCTTAAGGGTCTTCAATACTAAGTGACAAGTTAACAATTTCACTTAACGATAATAACAATTTTTTTAATAAGTACCATTGTTTTAAGTGTGTTTAAGCAAGGACAACTTAACAATTTCTTTTAACAAGGTAGTATGTACTCATTTTGAAATGCATCATATACATTTATAAAACAGAATTCGTCACAAAAATTTAATTTTTGTCAAAGAATTTCCCCCTTTTTGTAATGACCTTTTCATCATCATAAAAATATCATGACATATAAATGTGTTTTTGTAGTGACTTAAAAGGTTAAGAAACGAATGATGCATTTCCTTTAATTTAAATATCACCTTTTATTGTAATCATTTATCATGAATATATTGTTGTGCTTTTATTTTATAAATAATTTTGCAAATAAAAAAATTACTTAATTTTTTTAAAGTAATTACGAGTTTTCTTGATACTTTAAATTTCAGTGTTTAAAATTTTTAATTTTTATTATACAACACAATTCAGGCGTTTATATAATACTAATTTAAACTATCTTTAATTTTATATAGCAAATTGTATAGTTGATAAATTTAATTTTCAATTTTTATCATCGTGATGTTTTTATCTTATAGACTCTTCAAAATTTCCGATATTTAACTGTCTCCTATAAAAAAAATTAAATAAGTAAAAAAAAAAGTGAGAATTAACCTCTTAAGAAAAGCTAATTCATAATTAACTTAAAATTTGTAAACTGACAAAATTTATAAATTAAAAAAATGTCAATTAATTATTGAGCAAGCAAAATAATATGAAAGAATGTAATTAATTATTTGATTAAATTACACGATCTTAAATATTAGAATGTTTATAATTATAATAAATCATCCTCTTAATACAATAATATTTTAACTTGTTATTGTATAAAAATATGCATATGAAAAACAAACCTAGTATCCAATATTAATTCTTTTAACCTAATTAAATTAATTTATAGAAATACACTGGAAACTGCTAAAATTTAATAAACTTGTGACCAAATACATTTATTCGACCATTTTGTTATGTTTTACTTAACCTATGTAAAAGTATATGTAGAAGGAGAAACATCAATTTCTTCCTTGGAAAATACAAACTACATTCTAAATGGGAGTAAAAAGTCAACAAAGTTTCAGACACGAGAATTTTATGTTTGAAGTGTAGATAGGGTTCTTTGTGGTTGTGTTTACACTCTCAATTCCAAACATACCCTCTATTCATTTCTCTATATATACACTCTCTTCCCACTCAACTCAGAATCTGAGTGATAAACAATAAGATTAGAAAGTTCAGCATGTCTAAACAAGCCACTTTCTTCACTTTGCTTCTTCTCCTAAGCTTCAACCTCATCCATGCCTCACGTCCACACCCTTCACTCAACACTTTCTCTTCTTTGCATGAGGTACGTCTAATTTCTTCTCACTTTGATTTCATCCATCTAGATACAGTTAAATGAATCAATCCTTGTGAAACTTTCTTCTGTAATCTTTTCTGGGTATGAGTGACTTCAGAAAATTGACTGTTATGTAAGTCCAAATATTTTCCTTTAGCATCAGATCATGAATTGCTGTGTCTGATAAATACTATAGTTGTTTGTTTGTTCTTTGTTCATTTTTTCTGGTTTTGAGAATTGGCATGTTTGAATATTCAAGGCAGAGGTAGACGGAGAGTTTTGCGAAGAAGAAACCGAGGAATGTTTGATGAGAAGAACACTAGCTGCCCATGTCGATTATATCTACACTCAGAAGAATAAACCCAAACCTTGATGGCATCACACCACCCTCAGGATCAAATATACCAATACAAAAAAATAATATACAATTAATAATACCTATACATGTGTGTACTTATTTCATAAATAAACATATGTGTTGGATTCGAGCTTGTTCTTTTGGCCTTTTTGTTACTTGATTTTGTGTTCTTTTTCTATGTATGTTTATATAATTGGTTATTGTATTTCTCAAGTTCTTTTTCTATATATATACGGCATGAACTGCATAAACTCACAAACCTCTTTCTGCATAAACTGCTGCTTTGTTCTGATGTCTGGTATAGCAGTAATGTGAAGTTGAATAATCTGCTATGAAACTGTAGTATGCTTTAATCAATTTGAACACTGTTTCCTTAGCAACTGTGATGAGCTCTCAATAATTGGTGTGTACTATATATGATAGTAAAATCAATCAACTGAATTACATTTAAATAATTAAACATGAGTAAAGAATAACAGTTTGATGTTTTGCAAAACATAAATAAAATTAAGACTAAACCTTAAAATATCAGTTAATTATGTGCACAGAAGAAGAAATGTCAGAACACAGAAAGTCTATGTTCAACAGGTGTAGTGTCCTTCTCGAGGCTCAGAATGATAGATACTCGTCAGTTTTACATGACAAAAGAAGACCACATTTTAAATGAAAAAGAAAAAAGAGAGAAGAAAAAACCAAAAATCTACAGAAGTTACGTGACTAAAATGCCATCTAGTTATATAATCTAGTGATAAGACCCAACTTGGTGACTGGGGGAGAGAGAAATGCACTAAAAACCATGCTTTTGAGTCAAACAAAGTCACGTATGATAAAAAATATAATGCCACTTTAATTACCTTCTTGGATAGAATNGAGTTAATCATTGTATCTGTACATGAGATATTATCCGTTTTGAAGTTAGAAAATTTGAAAAAAATTTAATTATTAAAATTCGAAAGATTATACGAGGAGGAATGCACACATAAACTGTTCTCAGTCTCAACTTTTATTTGTTGGTAACTTAAAATGTTTTGATGCATAAGTTAAAAATTAAATTTGAAGAAATTGTATGAGAGAGTTTCAACAAATTAGTTTGGACTTTGGAGTGATTTGCTTTCATCTGTTCACTGAGAGAAAAAATAAGAGGAAAAATTGAAAATTTTAATTTCTCCGAATACTATTTTTTTCTCGAGAAATTATTATGTAAAAGTTTGTCTGAATGTATATTATGTATTATTTTTTTCATGAGGTAGGTTCCGGATGAGTTAAAAGAAAATATGCAAGTAAATTTTTTTTTTCAAATTAATTATTAGTTCATAATAAGTGTAAAAAAAACTTAAAATAAGTATTGTTTTTATCTTTTATATAATATTAACTTTTTTTATTTATGTTCCAAATAATATTTTTAAAATAATATTCACAAGTTACATACACTACAAGGAAAAGTACAAATATTCGACAGACAATTAAAAATTAATTTTAGAGAGATGCAATTTATTATTAAACCTCATGCGCAATTTTTTCTTATATTTTTTTGTAAATAAAACCATAAACCAATATCACTTCTTGAAATTAACTGTTACACAAATTTTGAAGATGTTTTAATTTATATTTTAATAGATTAAATTTGATCTATATCGAGAAAATATCTTAAGGGTCTTCAATACTAAGTGACAAGTTAACAATTTCACTAAACACTTAACGATAATAACAATTTTTTTAATAAGTACCATTGTTTTAAGTGTGTTTAAGCAAGGACAACTTAACAATTTCTTTTAACAAGGTAGTATGTACTCATTTTGAAATGCATCATATACATTTATAAAACAGAATTCGTCACAAAAATTTAATTTTTGTCAAAGAATTTCCCCCTTTTTGTAATGACCTTTTCATCATCATAAAAATATCATGACATATAAATGTGTTTTTGTAGTGACTTAAAAGGTTAAGAAACGAATGATGCATTTCCTTTAATTTAAATATCACCTTTTATTGTAATCATTTATCATGAATATATTGTTGTGCTTTTATTTTATAAATAATTTTGCAAATAAAAAAATTACTTAAATTTTTTAAAGTAATTACGAGTTTTCTTGATACTTTAAATTTCAGTGTTTAAAATTTTTAATTTTTATTATACAACACAATTCAGGCGTTTATATAATACTAATTTAAACTATCTTTAATTTTATATAGCAAATTGTATAGTTGATAAATTTAATTTTCAATTTTTATCATCGTGATGTTTTTATCTTATAGACTCTTCAAAATTTCCGATATTTAACTGTCTCCTATAAAAAAAATTAAATAAGTAAAAAAAAAAGTGAGAATTAACCTCTTAAGAAAAGCTAATTCATAATTAACTTAAAATTTGTAAACTGACAAAATTTATAAATTAAAAAAATGTCAATTAATTATTGAGCAAGCAAAATAATATGAAAGAATGTAATTAACTATTTGATTAAATTACACGATCTTAAATATTAGAATGTTTATAATTATAATAAATCATCCTCTTAATACAATAATATTTTAACTTGTTATTGTATAAAAATATGCATATGAAAAACAAACCTAGTATCCAATATTAATTCTTTTAACCTAATTAAATTAATTTATAGAAATACACTGGAAACTGCTAAAATTTAATAAACTTGTGACCAAATACATTTATTCGACCATTTTGTTATGTTTTACTTAACCTATGTAAAAGTATATGTAGAAGGAGAAACATCAATTTCTTCCTTGGAAAATACAAACTACATTCAAAATGGGAGTAAAAAGTCAACAAAGTTTCAGACACGAGAATTTTATGTTTGAAGTGTAGATAGGGTTCTTTGTGGTTGTGTTTACACTCTCAATCCCAAACATACCCTCTATTCATTTCTCTATATATACACTCTCTTCCCACTCAACTCAGAATCTGAGTGATAAACAATAAGATTAGAAAGTTCAGCATGTCTAAACAAGCCACTTTCTTCACTTTGCTTCTTCTCCTAAGCTTCAACCTCATCCATGCCTCACGTCCACACCCTTCACTCAACACTTTCTCTTCTTTGCATGAGGTACGTCTAATTTCTTCTCACTTTGATTTCATCCATCTAGATACAGTTAAATGAATCAATCCTTGTGAAACTTTCTTCTGTAATCTTTTCTGGGTATGAGTGACTTCAGAAAATTGGCTGTTATGTAAGTCCAAATATTTTCCTTTAGCATCAGATCATGAATTGCTGTGTCTGATAAATACTATAGTTGTTTGTTTGTTCTTTGTTCATTTTTTCTGGTTTTGAGAATTGGCATGTTTGAATACTGAAGGCAGAGGTAGACGGAGAGTTTTGCGAAGAAGAAACCGAGGAATGTTTGATGAGAAGAACACTAGCTGCCCATGTCGATTATATCTACACTCAGAAGAATAAACCCAAACCTTGATGGCATCACACCACCCTCAGGATCAAATATACCAATACAAAAAAATAATATACAATTAATAATACCTATACATGTGTGTACTTATTTCATAAATAAACATATGTGTTGGATTCGAGCTTGTTCTTTTGGCCTTTTTGTTACTTGATTTTGTGTTCTTTTTCTATGTATGTTTATATAATTGGTTATTGTATTTCTCAAGTTCTTTTTCTATATATATACGGCATGAACTGCATAAACTCACAAACCTCTTTCTGCATAAACTGCTGCTTTGTTCTGATGTCTGGTATAGCAGTAATGTGAAGTTGAATAATCTGCTATGAAACTGTAGTATGCTTTAATCAATTTGAACACTGTTTCCTTAGCAACTGTGATGAGCTCTCAATAATTGGTGTGTACTATATATGATAGTAAAATCAATCAACTGAATTACATTTAAATAATTAAACATGAGTAAAGAATAACAGTTTGATGTTTTGCAAAACATAAATAAAATTAAGACTAAACCTTAAAATATCAGTTAATTATGTGCACAGAAGAAGAAATGTCAGAACACAGAAAGTCTATGTTCAACAGGTGTAGTGTCCTTCTCGAGGCTCAGAATGATAGATACTCGTCAGTTTTACATGACAAAAGAAGACCACATTTTAAATGAAAAAGAAAAAAGAGAGAAGAAAAAACCAAAAATCTACAGAAGTTACGTGACTAAAATGCCATCTAGTTATATAATCTAGTGATAAGACCCAACTTGGTGACTGGGGGAGAGAGAAATGCACTAAAAACCATGCTTTTGAGTCAAACAAAGTCACGTATGATAAAAAATATAATGCCACTTTAATTACCTTCTTGGATAGAATACAATGAATAATCTTAATTTTATCATTTGTCATAAATTATAATGTAATATAATAAGAATGTTTGCATAGATTAATGAAGATAGTTGATGCTGTAAATTTTTGAAAATAGATGATACATAAAGGTTCATAATGATACAAAATTGGAAAGTGTAACATCGTTCACGTTTTCCGACCAAAATTCAAGCTCTGATGTAACTATCAATCTCATGGTCCTCCACTGTGGTGTGAATTGGTCCCAACACCTAACTCTGTTGGTGGCACAAAAGTAAAAGCAGTGTCAAACAAGGCTGTGTTTGTTTGTCATCACGCGTCAATGTTGTGTCCCATACACAGCTTAATGCACTCACCACGTACACAACAAAACGAGAGAGCCATCACATCCATGGATTAGTGTTTCTGAAATTGGATAACCATGTTTTAGGAGTGGATTTCTATTAATTCCTTCAAGTAGTTGCTTCCAAAACGTGGAGCTAAATCAACTTCTGTACGTACTCTCATGTGCCATAATAATCACTTTCAGAAGAAAGTGATTCTTGTAGGCTCATGGTTCCTATTCATTTAATAAGCACGAAGGATTAGAAAAAAAATTATTGAAGTGAAACGGATTATCTCAGACATTGATTCTCATTGTCTAGTGTATACTTTATTTAACATTATTGATTCAAACCCAAGAATATATATTTTTTGGGATGAGCTATTAAGGTTTTTAGATTGTGTGTGAAATAAATAAATCCAACAAATAATAAATTTTATTAGAATAGATTATAAATCATTATGATATTATGTTAGAAAAATGAACTTTAAATATAGTTTTACTAGTTTGTAAAATTAGATTTACATTTATATACTGCTTTTAATTGATGTTGAACTTTTACATATAAAAATCTCAAATATAGTGATTTGAAAACCGCTAACAGGATAGATTCAATAAATAATTAATATCATTAAGATAAAATTTGAATAATTATGATATTACTTTAAGATTAAAAAAACTTTAAATATATTTTTAGTTCTTTAATTTTAAGTGAAAATTGAAACTCTGAACTAATTTAGTCCATCATATTTAAAATCACGTGAATTTAGTTTTTTAAAGTTTTTTAAACAAATTTCGTTAAGTTTATTTAACATTTTAAATTTGTTGTTCAACTAGCATTGAAGAATAAAATGTGTTAAATAATGTAAATAACAATGTGTTAAATAATGTAAACACTCTAATGCTCTCATGAAATATCTTTGAAACGTCAAATAAACTTAATAAATTTTAGTTAAAAAGACTAAATCCACACATTTTTAAAATTAAAAGATTAAATTGGACAAAAATTCCAAAAAATAATAATTCTAATTCTAATTTTCACGAGATAAAAATATATCTAACCCTGAATATAACTAAACATTATAAAATCAAATTTATATTTTTTTTATACTGTAAATTCATCTTCTTTCCAAATGAATATGAAATATGATGTTTTTGTAATATCATATTATATATATTATTTATATGGTTGATGGTTTGCAATGAATTCTTTTAAGTTATTCATTGGATACAAATCAATTATATATGTCACTTAAAGATAAACTCAATTGTTAGTGCTAAGAATGATAAAGTGTATTTTAATTTTTTCATCAAACTCAATGCAAATGCATGTTGGTCCCATTTCCATCCCCAATCAACAAAGGTTGATGTCAATGAAATGAAATTCAGAGTAGGTCGGCAAGTAGAGGTCCCAGGACGAAGCAACGCATAAACATATTTCAAAATTAAATTACCCATTCTAGTCCCAACACAAGTATATCAATTTCTACACAACTTCTCACTATCATCCTTTTCTTTTTCTAGCTCAAATCCCTGTCTGTTAGACTATCAAGTTATTCTTGCTTAAAAAATTACCATGGATAAATATCAACAAAAACTATGCAAAACAAATACAAAAATATTAGATTCTAAAATAATTCTCAAAACTTATAAACTGATACTTTGACAACATTTTTTTGATAATATTTTAACATCATCTCTGTGTTATTATGTGATTAGTTTATATTGGTTGTGTTTATGAGTATTATTATTGATTGTTGAATAATTTTGGACCAATCACAAAATGACACGTAAATATTGTTAAAATGTTAGAAAAAAACGTTATTAAATATTATTATCCTAAATAAAATTATCATTATTCCAAAGGATCTAAATATTACAGGTCAATCGTTGCCCCCTAAACAGTAACCATACTGTGGTTACGTTCGTACTAGTCATTGTGATAAATTGATTCTTACATTTAGAAGAGATAGAAATTAATAGAAAAATGTTATTAAGAAAATATGAAATTGGTATATAGCACAAGAATAACAGGTTAGAATAATAGGTTAGACTTTGAACAAGGTCATTAGTTAGGTTTATTAAACTTATGAGTAAATGGGGAAATTCTAAACAGCAGGGTCAATGGTCAATGTGGAGCTACACTCACCACAGTACATTATATAATAAGGTTTTTATAAAGTATTATATATATACCAGCATCCACAATGAAGTGGGTTGTTACAGTATGTGCAATTTCACTTACCTTTGCAAAAAGTTGCGTTATAGTCAATCAATTTCATTACAAAAAAAAAAAGGAGAAAATTTTATGAGTGATTTAATTATTAGTTTAGAATAATTTCTTTTAAACTGATATATTTTAAAAAGCAAAATAATTGTCTTTATGAAAAATTAAAATATAATTAAATGTTCGAAAATTTTTAAATATTTATATTTCCTACATGATCCAATATGTTATATAAAACCACTGTCGATATTCTTTTCGGTCTTCTTAACAGTAAGTTTTTGTCGGTTTTCGCTCTTGATTGTTGTTTTCGGAAAAAACACTTACAAATACAATAAGAATTTTTGTAAATTAACAAAGGCTTAATACCCTATTTTGTCCCCAGTTTCGTTTGAAAATGTCAAATTAGTTCATCCTTTAAAAAAAGTGTCAATTACGTCCTCACTTAATAAAATTTGCATCAATGAAATCCCTTCCGTTAAATCCGTACAAACGGCGTTAATTATTTTTCTCTCTCTTCTACTTGAATAATTAACGCCGTTTGTACGGATTTAACGGAAGGGATTTCATTGATGCAAATTTTATTAAGTAAGGACGTAATTGACGCATTTTTTAAAGGATGGACTAATTTGACATTTTCGACCGAAACTGGGGACAAAATAGGGTATTAAGCCATTAACAAAAATAAATTCGTTCGTAAAATTAAAGTTATGGATACATTTTAATTGTTGACAAAAAGTTTTATTGATGATAAATCTATTGATAAAATTTATCGATAAATATATTAATAATGAATAATTTTGTTAATAATGTATTTGATAGTTAGTTTTATTAATAAATTTTATTAGTAATTTATAATTTTTATTAGTGATGTTTCTTTGTTTGTAAATCTGTTAAGTGAAATAAGTGACAGAATTTTCCTTAAATTATAAAAAAAAAAATTATAAAGAAATAAGGGTATACAGAAGGAAGAAAAGAATAAAAGAAAGACGAGGAGAAAGAGTAGAAGAAGATAGATTAAATGACAAATATAAATTAATAAACAAGATGAATGGCTAACTAAAGATACATTAAATAATAAATGAATAAAATAAATATGTAATTAGATATAAATTAAATGATATAATTATAAATTAATAAACAAGACCGGTATATTACTTGTGATCAAAATCTTCTTTATAATTTTTAGAGTTGCAATCTAGTTTATTTTGAATAAAAATGTCAGTGTTAGCCATTTAATTTGGTTAGTTGTGAGTGACAAAAGATTGAACCAAATTAACATTTTCTTTTCATGTTTAAAAAAATTGGTCCATAGGTTAATAGTGACTTACAGGACTTTTTGTAAACATTTTGTTTCTATGTTTTTTTTTGTTTGGCCTTTTTCTATCATAAAACATGTGGGTTGGGTCAAATTTATAGATTTAGCAGCATGCATGTGTTTATGCATATGCATGTATATGCAGTAACATTTGTTACTCCTACACCACTCCACGTGTTTTTTCTACACTCACACATTTTTTAAAAGTTTCAAAACTGTCTTTGTATTTTAAAAAACCTACACTCATCTTCCTTTCTTCAACGGATTTCAAGATTCGTTGAAAGATTTTCTAAATTTTCAAAATCTGTTGAAATTTTTAAAAAATCTTTCATCAAATTTCAAGATATATTAAAAAAGAAATTCTTCAATAAATTTTGAATGTTGAATTTTTTTTTCTTAAATGGATTTT